ACAGATTTTCCCAGGCATGAGTACTGCGGAAATGAAGAGAGGCAGCTCCCAGCAGTCACCCCAAGGGAACACCAAATTTAGCCCGAAGGTTGAAGATAAATATATTTAAAATTTTTTAATTATAAAAATAACATGATAAAGTTAAAATAGTTTAGATATAAGGAGTATTAAAGCGTTCCCACAGATCCACTGTACTGGCACAACCACTTTCATTTTTGTTTCTTTCAAATCTTTGTTCTTTTAATAATTTTTTTTTTTAAGATTTTATTCATTTATTGACAGAGAGAGAACAGGAGAGCACAAGCAGGCAGAGCGGCAGAAGGAGAGGGAGAAGGAGGTTCCCCACTGAGCCCTGTGCAAGGCTCCATGCGGGGCTCGACCCCAGGACCCTGGGATCATGACCCAAGCCAAAGGCAGTCACTTAACCAACTGACCACCCAGGCGCCCCTCAAATCTTTATTCTTTTAATTGCCTACTTTACACATTGGAATTGTGGTGTGAGTACAGCTTTGTATCTTGCCCTTTTCCATAAAAATAAATGAGAAGCACTTAAAAGAAGCAGGTTGTAGACAAAGAGAAGTGTTTGAATATCACTTCTACCACCTACTAATTGTGCAGGTTACTGAATCTGTTTCTTTATCTGTAAGGGGGGGTGTATCAAATGATATCATAAGATTATTATAAAGATGAAGTGATAATTCATAAAATCTCTTAGCACAGAGCCTAGAAAATAGCACTTAACAATTCCAAAATAGGTGGTGGTTTTTGGTTTTTGTTTTCTTTAAATTGACTTTTCTCCAGCTAATGACACCCTACATAGGTTTTGACACTGGTTTCCAAATGTACAATTTTGGCTTAAACGTTTGTAAGCTTAAGCCCCTCTACATGATATTTCAATCCTTTAAAAAAAATAAATAAATAAAGTCCCAGGAAGGCATAGAACAACTTCCCACCCTGCTTTGAATGTCTGCTGCCCAGGAGGCTTCAGCTTGGCCAGGCTCCAGAGCCCAGGGTAAGAGCTCTCCGGAATGGGTTCATGCCTCGCTCTCAGTTTCTCTCAGAGGAAACCCTTTATCACAAGTGAATGCACCCCATTCCATAGGGCCTTGTGTCAGAGTGATGGAAATTCAGCTAGGTTAAAGGGACAGAGGGGACTTAAGCCATTTCCTGGCCATGACCTCCCAGGGCTGTGTTAGCCTTCCATGGAATTGAAGGAGATGCCAGCTTGGGGTGATTTCAGAGCAGTATCAGATCCCCTGCCAAAAATCATCTCCCACCCACCATCATGCTTGATGAGGTGCGTGGAAGTCTCACTACGGGCCATTCCTTAGATTTATGACTTTGAAGGCATCTAGTATATGTTACCATCAACAAATGTATCTAGCAGCACCTCGCATCATCTCTGATAATGAGTACCCACCTTGTACTCTGTTCAAGGCTCTGTCCCAATGCATTGCCTAGTTACCCAGCCCCTAGGCCGAAGCTGTGCTTTGCCCATGTCAACACCCTCCTCTGAGTCTAGAGGCCCAGTTCCCAAAAAACCCAGATCAGGTGCCATTACCCTGCTCCCGGCTGAGAGACGTCCCCAGTGATGCCTGCGTGCCTGGCGTCTTGCACAACTTCTGTGGCCTGGCTTCCCCGCCGCTGTGCTTCTCCCTCCTTCCTCACTACCCCCCCTCTGTGCACTTGAGTCTAACTGTTTTGACTCCTCTGATGCCAAGCCTCCTCTGGACCACACCCTGCTGGCTCTTTCCCAGCATCCTCAGATGCAGTCTTCTCTGCCCACCAGCCTGGACTCTAGGGAACGGGCCCTATTTAGAAGTCCCCAAGCGTGTTATAAGAATCAATCCCAGTGGAAATCATAGTTGCAACATCAAATAGAGCTTTTTAGAATGTTGACATATGATATTTAGTTGTTTTAATTAAGACTGCCCTTCTTTTCTTTGAGTAAAGAGTTTTCTGTCCCTTGAGGCTTTTACTGAAAAGGTATGTGGTGCCAAGTGGTGTTGTTTTAGGTGCTAGTTAGGGACTGCTTGAATTCTGTGTCTTTCAAGAATGTTGGATCAGACTGAAGTTAGGGTCACTTGCATTTTGGGGTTTCCTGGAAGGAATTTGGGTTCTCCTACTTCAGTTCTTCTAGTCATCAGTGGCTGGCTTCTCCTCAGCTCTCAGATCTCAGCCTCTGTGTTACCTCCTTTCTGCCAGTTTCTGAGGAACATCCCTCCTCCACCTTTGTTAGCATCTTCTCTGTTTCCTTTTTGGCACTTAGGACAATTTGTAATGATTTTGTTTATTTACTTGCATTAGGGTGTCTTCCGTACTAGATGGTAAGCTCCAAACGATGGAATCATATGTTTTATAAAATTGCATTCCTAAAATCTGACATAGTCCCGAGTCCAAAGTGGGTGCAGAATAGATGTTTGTTGAGTGAAATTTTTCTCTTTCCCAATGGAAAGAATAATAAAAAAACTGTAGATCATACTCATTTCTGATGACAAACAAGTAACCAATGAGAGGAAAAGCTATCAATCCTGTTCTGTTTACATATATATCATTTGTAAATTCAATCCATGGACCCACTGCAGGGGCTCCTAGGAACTATGGAGGATTGGGAAGCACAGAGCTCATTTTTGGCACCCCTCCCACCTCGCTGTTTTCTTCATCTGCACATCATGAAAACAATCCTTCAAGACACCTGTGAGGTGCGCAGAGCCCTTGTTCTGTTTTTCTCTCTGCTGGGGAAATTTGCTATTAGGAAGAAATCTGAAATTCATTCATGCTATGATTCTTCATAAGAGTATTATTAGCATTTAAGCACTGAGATGCTTTAACCACAGTCATGAAACACTAATGGTAGAAATGCTGATCTTATCTGGCACTGGAGGGAGGAAATTAAGAAAGGGGCCTGCAGGGACCTACAACCCAAAATGTGTTCACCATATTACCACCCAGCTAACCCTCCTTAAGGATGAACCTTTAAAAGGGAGAGGAAGAGAAAATGAGAGCAGATACATGCAGTTGAAATCTTACTCACTATAACGTGAGTCCCTTAGCTTTTGCTGTCTGGGTGTAATATAAACTATTAAATGTTAATAGCTATGTTTATAGAACCATGAGATGCACTGCTTCTTTTCTAGGAGAAAAAATAGATCTCAGATGCTTTTTCCACTTGGACTACTCAGGCACCTCTGGGCTGAGCACCTTGCCCTTTAACAGATGCCAGGTATATCCCCAAGTCTCAACTCTGCTGTCCTAAGTTGTGTTCTACGATCTGCTTGCAAGACTCTTTAAAAGAGCTCTCTTGCCCTGATGAACAACACTAATTGGTAGTGAAGATAATACTTCTGTATATGTTCCCCAGGCTTTGTTTATTTCTCTAGGAAATAGCACCCCTGTGGTACTCAAGGGCTCCGTGGTCCCTTGAACCTTTGTTTGCAGCAAGAATCATTTCTCCTGGGCTGCCTGGGTGGCTCAGTGGATTAAAAGCCTCTGCCTTCAGCTCAGGTCATGATCTCAGGGTCCCGGGATCGAGTCCCACATCGGGCTCTCTGCTAGGCGGGGAGCCTGCTTCCTCCTCTCTCTCTCTCTCTCTCTCTCTCTACTTGTGATCTCTTTCTGTCAAATAAATAAAATCTTTAAAAAAAAAAAAAGAATCATTTCTCCTCTTCCAAAAAGATGTGATCCCAATCAGAGAGGCCAATGAGAAGCTTTCACTGTCACAGAAATTTCCTGGGCCTCAGTTTCTATGTCTGTAAAATAAGAACACCAAGATCCATTTCACAGAGTCATCCTTGGGGTGTTCACCTGACTAAAACCTCGGCCTCTTAAGGCCCGCCCCCGGGCAGGTGTCCTCTTCCAGGGGTTTTGTTTCACTTCCAGGAGCCTGTGGTTCTTAGAATTCCCATTCAATTCTCTTCCAATTGTTTCCTCTGCCTTACTTTGAGTTAATTTGGCCTGACTTAAACTGACCACCTTAGGTAGATGTGAGCTCCATAAGGGGAAGTTCTGGAATCATCTCTCAAATCCCAGGTTTTCAAATTTTCTGTGTTCAACACAATAATGAAAATAATAAAGATAATAATGGCAACAGTATCAATGATTACCATTTAGTGAGGTACTGTTATTTCCCAGGCACTCAGATGAACTTTTCACTCCCTCATTTAACAACCTAACAATGAGGTAGATGTTCTGAGACTCTACTTACAGATAAGAAAACCAGGGTTCAAAGATGAAGTAGCTTGTTGGAGTCCAGAGGTAAATCGGCAGCTGAGATTTTTAACCCTTGCTTGTCTGACTCCAAGCTGTTTGCATTACTAACTGATGGCTGGAGTCTGAGTGCTGCCCTCCCTGACCAAGTCTGTCATCCTACTTTCATAGTCATGGCATGAAAGGACACCAAGAAAGAGAGATGCAGGGCCAAATTTTATTAAGACAAACTACACATATTATTTCTTATTTTATTCCTGAAAGTCCCATCATCAAGGACTAATGTCATAGGATTTCTAATCCAAGTACACCTACTTCACAAAACAAACCCATTTCAGAGATGGAAGGAGAGTCTTTTTTGTTTGTTTGTTTGTTTTGTTTTGTTTTGTTTTGCAGAGAGAGTCTTAATGCTGGTGCCAGACAAAAGATAAAAAGGTGTTCTCTCTAGGGACCTCTGATGACCATTCTTACCTAAATGGCCTCCCAGTCAGTCCCCTCCAACTCTCTACCCTCATCCTTCTCTCCACACACCAATAGCAGCCAAACATCAGCAGAAGGGTCTGGAGATGGATGATGGGGGGTAGAGGCTAAGACACCTTCTGAGCCTTCACCCTCCTCTGCCCAACTTCTCATCCGCATAGGCCGATGCCACTGGAAACAGTGAGTCTCAGCCCCTCCACCAGCATCTGGAGGTGAGGGCAGGAAGACACAAGTTCTTCTAAAGTTTCCTTTCCTTATTTCAGACTCCCCTCCCCTTCACCCACCCTGTCAGTGTAGACACACACACACACACACACACACACACACATGCATGCATTTTAAAAAGTAATCATCTCCCTATAAGTCTCAGTATCCAATTCTGAGCATCCTTTACCTTTATCCATAATGGCAACCACCCACTATGGATGGACTGAACAGAGAAACCAGGCCAGTCCCTGGGAAGGCAGGACTTTTCCACAGTCCGCAGTCACCACTGCTTTCTAGCTGTCTCATTAGGAGCACCAGGGAGACATAGGAATCACTGTGCTCTTAAAAGAGGCCCCTGCCAAGAGAGCTGGAGATTCCCTTACCGCTTCCATGCCCCTGCTAAGCCTTCCAGGGAGAGAGAGATCTGGGGGCTCCATAGCTGTCATCATGCCTCCTCTTGGCACTCTAAGTTGGCAGTCAGAAAGGGAAATAAATAGGAGGGGGAAACAGTTTTCCAGTATTTTCTCTCTTTTTTTATTTTTATCGTCACAGCAGAATTATTTTTTCCCAAAGGGAATTTGAGAAGCACAATGCCCTCTTTGTTTTAATAAGACCTAGGGAAATTCCATTGGCCCTTGTGGCTGGTGATCCGGTCAGGATCTGAGAGAGGACGACGGCTTCTTGGGCACTCTGGTCGATAAGATCTTTAGGGGAGCACTGGGTGAACAGCCAAGGAAGGAAGGGATGGGATGGTTTCTATCATCGGGTTGAGCTGTAAAGAGCTGCAGGATGACAGGTGGTGGCAGGGATTCCAGTGGAGCCTGTGTATATAGTCACTCCCTGGGGGAGCTTGCACCCCCATGGGCCAGTTTTCACCCTGGCAGAAGTAAAGGCTGCAGCTTCACTAAGGTAGGACATTTGCCAGAGGTACATACCAAAACACTTGTAAAGTTGAGGCTGCTGGTCAAGTTCCAAGGACCTCTTTTTAAGTAAGACTGGGTACAGGGAAGGCAGCCCAGGGCAGCCCAAGGCCACCTTAACACCACTCCAAATTTTGACCCATGGAGACAACAGATTCAAGAGCACATCTAATGGAAGGTCTTTGATTGATGCTCTTTATTGGCTGGGATCTTTGGGTTTTTCGTTGCAAGAAGAAGGGCGATCAGGTCGAGGAATCCATAGAGACTTGGAGAACCCATCTGGTATGTTGCTGGTATGTAGAGAGCCATTCTGTCCTTCTGGCTATCCCTCCCGTGGCTTGATTTACTGCTGTTCCCTTTTCTTCCTCTGGCCTCTTGACCAAAGAATCTGAAAACCTTCTACGTACACTGGGTAGAGGATGGGAAGGGACAGCAGCTGGGGTGGGTAACCATGTCACTGCCTGCACTCGAAGAGGCCTGGTCCTACCTTCTGGAGTAAATGAGCAATGCCACGGAGACCTGAAGCCCAAAAGGAGCAGAACAGGTATGAGAATGAGAGATGGGGTCGATAGGGACACATCTTCCCTCTGTGAGTTTCCTCTGTTCCCACCTAGTCCTGGATTCCGCCCCCCCAACACTAGAGGGTCACACTGATAGGTCATCTGACCTGGCCTTGCTGCTGGCCTTGCTGAGACGGCGCTTGTCACTTGGATAGCCAATGGGAAGGCGGTGACCCGGGGAGGCCCCATTGGGTACCTCAGGCTTCTGGCCGTAATGGATGTGAATAAAGCCCTCCCCAGGAATCGCCTCCTGGCCTTGCACTTGCTCAGTGGCCAGGTTCTCGGTGTTCTGCTGGGAAGCCATCTTGTTACTGAAGGGATTGAAGAATTTGCCCCCAGGGCTATTCTCTAGACACTGATTGAAATCAGGGGGTGGTGTGCAGTTCTGGACCATGCCGGCAGAGGGGCCAGGAAGCTGACACTCGGCTGTACTCTGCCGAGATCTGACAAAGCGCTGTCTGATCTTCTTCCAGCCCAGGTGGTAGAGCTCAGCCAGGCTGAGGAAGAGGGACAGCGCTGCCACAGCCAGCATAAAGACGATGAAGACATTCTTCTCCGTGGGCCGGGATACGTAACAGTTGACTGGGTGGGGACAGGGACTCCTGCGGCAGACATGCAGGGTGTCCAGGAAGATCCCGTAGAGGAGGTACTGACCCACGATGAAGGCCACCTCCATGGTTGTGCGAATCAGGATGCTGCAGACATAGGTGTTGAGCAGAGTGCCCTGGAGGACAATCCTCCCGTTCACTTCCTCCCAGCAGGACAGCTCTGCCTTCTCAGCCACTGGGTACTCATAAGAGCCAGTGCCCCGGACCTCTTTGGCCCTCTCAGCCTCCCTCAGCTTCCGCTTCTCCTGCATGCGCACCGTGTGCATGGCATGGCCCATGTACACCAGCGATGGTGTGGACACGAAGATGATCTGTAGCACCCAGTAGCGGATGTGCGAGATGGGGAAGGCTTGGTCGTAGCAGACGTTCCCGCAGCCGGGCTGCATAGTATCACATTGGAAGTCGGCCTGCTCATCCCCCCAGGATGACTCGGCAGCCGTGCCCAGCACTAGCATGCGGAATATGAAGAGGACGGTGAGCCAGACCTTGCCGATCACTGTAGAGTGCTTGTGTACTTCCTCCAGGAACTCTCCCAGGAAGCTCCAGTCACCCATCCTGACTCAGCAGGAGACAGCCACCAGGACTTCTGCAAATGGGGCAGAGAGAAAGAGAGAAAAGGAGAGGGATGCTTCTGCAAAGTCTGGACGGTCTAGGGCTCCTCCGATCCATTCTTTAAGAAAGTGCAACTCATGAGCCAAATTCACCTGAAAAGCTCTCTTTTTTCCAGGCCAGCAAAAGGAAAAGGAGATCGAAGATTAAAAATGGTCGTGTTAGCAAGATGAGAGTGATTCCCACACTTGAATGGATCTAGAAATCAACTGAGGAGCCTGTTATGAGTGGGTTCTGTGCTGTTACCTCTGGAGAGTCTGCTTTGGGAGGTCTGGGGCCACCCTTGGAACCGCAATCTGCCCCGAGCAGCCCAGGTTACTCTGAGGCAGACAGTGCAAAGCCCACGCCTGGAGAAACACTGGTGAAGCAGGAAGCACAAAGGACTGCTCTCTGCTTTCGCCATTCTGGCCCTGTGCCTCACTGAGTCTGCATCCTTGTCTGTAAAATGGGGATGGAAAACAGCTGCCTCAGAGTTTCAAGGGTGAGGTACGTGATATGTTGGGGATCATAACTCAAATGTTCCATATGTTTGAAAGGGCATCAAGTGAAAGAATTATTTTGGTTCCAGAAGGAACTGAGTGAAGAGGAAGGAGTGGGGATGGCGGTGGCAAGTCTGGCCTCTCAGAAGGCATTCCCTAACCTTCAGAACCACCCCAGCTGTACTGGGAGATGGTGAACAAAAACCAGCTCTGGGTGCTGCTGATGAGTGCTCGGGTTCTTGCAGCTGGGAGGCAGCTGGCGATGCCAATCTCCCACACCTTGGGGCAGTGCAGCCCTTCAGGGGTATGGCTCCTCGTCCTCCTGCAGAAGGTCCCCATGCACAGACCTGCTCATCCAGAATAAATGCCCCAAACCATTATGTCCCACACAGAACCTTCTCTCAGCAGGCCCTTTCTTGCTTCTCCAGCCTGATTCCTTGTGTGTCCCCATTAGTTCCTTTTGTACTGCCTGCCACATCCTGGAAGATTCCCAGATGCCCTCTTCCCAGCCACCTTCTACATAACCGCCGCCCCCACCCCCAGCTAGATCCTTATTAACCCTCAGAACTTAACCCAGTCATGGTTCCCTGCAGCCCTCCCTGCTCCTCCAAGCTGAGCCTCTTCAGCTCCTGTGGTGGCTTTAGGGACACTTGGTTCCCTCCTAGCACTTCCCTTCTTGTTTTGTGGCCCTCTGCCTGTCTGTGTTCTTCTAGTGGGCGCTCCTTGATCACAGAGACTGACTGTTCCTCTCTATCATCATCACCTGGCCCAGAGCCTGGGCTGGAGTGGATAATCTTAGGGAATCTTAGTTGAGTGAATGAAGGGTGGCAGGCTCTGATGTGGCAAATCAGTTCCCTATTCCTTGCCTGCATCCTGTCAGCAGGGTGAAAAGACCAGATTTCACTTTCTCAGTCTCTTCTGCAGTTAGATCTGGTCAGTCAGGTATGGTAAGAGTCTATGTAGAGGGAGTGCTCTAGAAACTGTTTTCCATCCCCCAGTAAATGGAGAGAGTCTCACAGGAAGTCTCCCTGCCCACCACCCCGACTACTTCCTGCCCATGGACAGGACTATTTGAACCAAGATGTCTGAGGCTGTCCAGAGATTCTCAGAAATGCCAACCAATGTCCTGAGGCCTCTGAATCAGCTCTTGAATCTCCTACCTCCAGAATTCTTACTTGATGAGCAATAAATGTCCTTACGGCTTAAGCCTCTAACCAATCCTAATCAACAGAATGACAAAAAAAAAAAAAAAAAGGAGGGAACTGAACTACAAATATTCCATTCTTGTGATCATAAAACCTTAGAATCTAATGGGATCTTAGAGATTGTCAGGTTCACACCTTGACCTTCACATCTTTGCTGTCAGTATGCTCCTGGTTCCTATCCAAACACTCTTTATGCAAATAAAGAAGGACAGTGTGGGTTGCCATATTTCATGGTGCAGGCTTCCTTGACTCCTGAGTTGATACCTTGACAGAGACCAGGCTCCTGGCCCTGTTTTCTCCCAGGCCCCCACTCCCCAACCCTGAGAGTCCTCACATGAGTGGAAAGGGCCTTATCTCTGTCCCCCTCTGTGTCAAAGACTCATCCAGGTCTTGAAGCCTTTCCTCTAGTTTGTGTTCAGACGTCTGCCCTTTCCCCTAGGTGGTGAAGGGTCCCCCTCCCTTAGCCTCCAAATGTGGAAAACTGTGGAGCGTCAGCTCAGAAGGAAAATGGCTGATTAGATAAGAGTGCGAATGGTCTGTCATCTCTTCTGGGCACGTGCATAGTGTTCAGCACCTTCAGGGTCATCCACACAACATGCAGGGACCAGGATGTGCTGAGTGTCTGAGAGAGGGGAGGGCAAGAAGGAGAGGGAGAGAACGGGAAAAAAAAAAGAACAAAAAGAGGGGAAAGACAAGCAGGAGTTTGGAATGGAAAAAAAGAGGCCATGTAGTGGTTAAGAGAATATAGTTTGGGGGTAGCTAAGTGGAGTTCAAATCCCTATCAATATCGCTGAGCTTGGAGAAGCTACTGGATCTGTAGCTCAATTTCCCTAACTGCAAAATGAAGATACTATTATTTAGCTCATCTGGGGTTATGAGGTAATGTATAAAAAGCACTTAACACAGTGCTCAGTGTATAAGAACTAAAGAATAATTCCTTGCCTTTACTAGCAAGAAAGTGGTGAGGGAGGACAGGAATGGAGAAGGAGGGAGAGAGAGAGAAAGTAGAGAGAAGTGCATTACAAAGAAGAGAGAAACAGATGGAAAAGCAAAAGGGGAAAAAGTGAAAGGGAAACAGAAATGGAAAGTAAAAAGAAACAAGAAAAAGGGAAACAAGTGTCATATTCTTCCAAAATTTGGGGCAAGTTTTCCAAACTGTCCTCAATCCCTGAAGACATTTCCCTTGATCTTCTGCCTCTGCCACTCATTCCTTGCAAGTCCCCCAGGAGGTCTAAAAATAGGGCCAGACAAAGAATGTGACGCTTTGGTCTGGTCTACCAAGAGGCTTGCGGCTGACCCCCTCACTTGTGGTGCAAGGAATCCCACCTGGAAGAAGGAAAGCAAGCATACAAGAAAGAAACATCACGGAAGAGGAGAAAGACAGTGACATCTATAGGCTGCCTCATGGGGAGGGAAAAACACTAGCTGATGAGGTGGGGGTGGGGCAGACCCCATGCACCCTGGTGACAGCAAATAGGGTACAGGACAAGTCTCATTTGTGACTTCCTGATGACCCAGGCGAGGTCAGAGAAACTTAAAATTGCTATCAAGTATCAGCTGCTCGGTTTATAATATGAAAGTCAGTTTCCCAGCTACACTGTGTCCCTTCGGGTCCCCCACAACCTCAGCCAAAGAAATATGTAAATTAGATACCCACTGAGTTTACTGCGTGTAGAGCATATAAAATGCTTTGTAGATTATTATCTGTTTCTTGGCAGGAAGTGTGTTAGGAGGGGCAAAGGAAGCTGCCCATGCCATGAATAAATTCTATCAAATACAATGGTAATAATATACCTCACTGCTTTAGCTAAGATCTTCACTGCCTTCCTACTGCTTATAAAGTTCACACTCTTTAACTTGCACTTGAGATCCTCCACAGCACAGCTCAGTCCTGTCTTCTTCCCTGTTCCTCTCACATACTCCATTTTTAAGCTACATTACTCCCATACACGTGCACATGGCCCACACCTTCTTACCTCTTTGTCTTAGCTCCTCATACCCCCTCTACCTACCAGGTCCTTCTTCCTTTTCATTCATTCATTTAATATGAGTGGTTACCACGTATCATGCAAGGCCCTTAAAGCACAGCAGTTAAAAAGAAAAACTAAGAGTCCCTGACTTTACTGAACTTAACTGCCTTTATATCCCTGACTGAAGGAGAGAGATCGAACACATTGCAATAAAGCATAATGTGTGTTAACATTAAGGGAGTGCTGTGGGACACATGGCAGGAGGTTACTCTGGCTTAGGGCATTGGGGAGGGCCTTCTAAGGAGCCCTGGGTAATTAAATTCTACAGCCCTTTGCAACTGATACAAGTTCTGAAGTCTCCAAGGTAAAAGAGACGGTCCTTAGAACCCAGTCCCTAGAACATCCCCACTCTGTAGTTTCTTCACTCAAAAACCTTCAGCATCTTCTTTCAACATGTCATATCCAGGGACAAAACAAACATTTGGAGGAGTCACCAAGGAACTTGTTTGGTAATAGTGACATGGCACTTGGATAAGAGGGAAAGGGCCAAAGGAAGGCTATTGTGTATAGTGAACATAGATCATTTTATTCCCTTACTTTGTGTATTAAATGACTACAGATAAAATTCCGGTACCTACATTCCCAACCCAGTGTTAGCATTTTTGCCTCCCTACACAGCCAGTGTTTTCAAAGAAAACTAACTTAGAGCAACCTAGGTTAACATAAACTCATAGCTAGGGCTTCCTTCTCTGGCCCCACATATGTAGGTAGAAATGGAGAATTCTTTTCTCAAATTGATCTCAGCCCATTTTGAAATCTCCTGAACAATAAAGACTCCACATTACTGTTCAGCGTGTAGGATACAGTCACACTTATATGTTGCCTTACACTGATTTTCCAAAATTTTCTTTCTATCAGCCAACCCACAAGTACTTTTTTGAGTCCCTGCTATGTGCCTCTCACTATTCTGGGTACTGAAAATAATATCTAGGGGGTACCAGACCTGGCACATACTATGCATTCAATGATATCTTGAATTAATAAAATCAGGCACGATTCCTGCCCTCAAGGATTTAACAGCTTTTCCCTTCAAATGAGTAATAGACTTCTCAAGTCAAAAGCCCTGTCTTCTACTTTGTATTCTTAATGCATTAAGGTCTCACAATAGGTACATAATAAATGCTTTCTTAACGATTGAAAAAAAAAATGTTTGATCTAGCAGTAAGATTACAGAGTGATCCTACAGAGGGTCAAATCTTCCTTCTTATGTCCAACAAATAAAAAAGAAAACCTTACAGGGGCCCATGGGTAGCTCAGTCAGTT